CAAACATAACAACTAATATCAGTATCCGTCGAATTTGTATTTTCAGAAGGCATCTTTTGCCTGGTCAGAGGGTGGAGAGGAGGCTGGAGCCGGTGGAAATGGTACCGGTGGGACTGGAGCGGCGGTCACCGGTTCATCCACCCCAGCGAGCGGTGGCGGTGGATTGGCACACTGGGTCAGTGTCATGGCTGAACACATACACAATCCCCACTCAGCTGGAAATGTCGGTGGGGTTCATCATCAACAGCAGTCACCACCTCAACCCCCCTATCCCTGGAATAACGGCCTCTCCAGTGATGTAAGTACCATATAAATTACATTTATTATCATTTTCTAGATGTCCATTCAAAAATTTCACTGCCCACTCTCTACACCTAACTATTCGAAATATATATCAATTATACCCATATATACCCATATATTCTGGCTAAATACGCGTACCTATATATTGCACATATATTTTACCTTCTACTTTGGACAGACCAAATTTTTTACTATTATATCGAAAAATATATGATTACAATATAATATATCATAATATATGAGTATATTATATTATATTATTGTATTGTCAGTAATATATTTTATTATTTTTCATAAAGAAACTTACATTTTTTATGTGAAATAACCGGGAAAAATATTCTCTGAATATTTATGATATAAATAGAAAATTTGAACACATGCTGTGAATATTTGGAGAATCATTAAGAACTTCGAAAAAACTGACAAAGAGTAATGGAAGTACTTCCTGCCAGTATTCAAGTGCGCGGATGGCCCTTCAAAGTAATCCAATAAGTACTACGTAATTCGTACTCGAGTAAACTCACCCCACATACCATTTATTATTGATACTATATAGCAATAAATTATCAATATATGCATCTAGATTCATTGAAATTATCGGAGATTATGAAGAATTACCATTTTAGCATTTCTTACTTCCAATTTTCCAATTTCCGTATTAACAATTCCAAATTGCAATTCGCATTGGGGAATTATATTAAAATTCAAAAACAAAGGTTCAAAAAAAGATTCAAAAACGACTTTGGCATTCTTGAGAGCAAAATTCGTCATCCCGATATAAAAATTGAATAATTCCGGTTGTGAGGAGCATTGTGCTTCCATTCAGAGACAACAAATGTAAAGTGAGAAATTCCTCTCCCATTACATATAGAATAATTATTTTCGCTGATAAATTAGCAATACACTTCCGAATGGTTATCCAAAAAATTATCCCACGTACATAGATATCGTAATTATTTCCAAAATTCCAACAATCTAATTATCTTACTATC